ATTTTAGCCATCAAATTCTTCAGTGTGATAATGATTCGTAGTCATCAGTGTCATGATCGGAGTTATCAGCAGAGATATCAGGAGCTATAGAAGACCCGGGCAAGGCAGATGATAACGAGGAAATGGAAATACTTGTGGCTATAGCTTTCGAGAATAATCTCGTTATTTTGATTTGCTTTGAATGTTTCTTTCTTTTCATAAATTTCACAATAGCATTTGCCATTGCACTTTAATTAACTGCTTAACATTCATACATACCCTTTAGTTCTAATATAGCTGCATTCACTTTTGATAACACATCAATTAACCCTTTACAGTGAACTTCTTTTGTTCTTATTGCATTCTTCCCTTTTCCTCTTCCAAGCAAGTGCTGTTGCGTTTTTAACTCTATTAAATCTTCGTTAGTTAGTTCTTCCTTTAAACATTCCATTAATTCCTCAATATCTTCGGCTTCAACATTTAAATTAAACACGGTAGCAATTTCCACAATTGTTTTTTGTATGACATCAATACGTGCAGTACGTTTTCGTCAAACCTTCGAAATTATTCATGTAACGTTTTAGGCGTTTTTTCCGTATGTCTTCCGTACACTTTTCTGTCACTCCCTCGTAAGCTGGTTCAATTTTCTTTATGCAGTATAAAATGTTACATGATTTCTAAAAATCACGAAGAGTTACTTCATCAGTTTCCGTTGTTATTACAGCTTTGGAAAACGTTGTGCACAATAGGTATAGCCTCTTGGTCCATTCGCTGTAGGATAGCAGTCGTGTTTTAGGCAGCTACACTACATCAGGATGAGAAAGTAGGCTAGTTTGAAGGCTACTTTCGCATCGTTTGAAGTTCTGGGTGCTATCAAGCAGCAGGATAATCTTAAAAGGAACGCCTTTTTCCAGACAATAATGCTTGACTGAGAGTATGAAGCAATTGATGAACCAATCTTCAAATAAAACTTGCGATAACCATGTCTTGTAATTTGTAGGACAGTAAATAGGCAAGGCGTACTTCAATGAACATGAGTTCTTGAAGTGAGAAATGAGGAATAACTTTACCAACAACGTTTCCTCCCAACAATAACGTGATCCTATCCTTGAAACCGGACTTTGTTTTAACTTTTTTGTGTATGTAGAACTTTTCAGATATTTTTTTTTTCAAAAAAAGCGCGGTTTCATCCACATTGAAGATCTGTTCCAGGAGGTAACCACCTTACATCAAATTGACCAACAAACTTTTCCGTTGCTTCTATGTCCGCGCTTGTCCCCTCACCATTGATATTGCGATTATGCATATTGAATCTCTGACGAAACCGTTGAAACATGGCTTGCGTAAACGTTTCCGTCGATTCTTCTCCTTCGTGAACCTTCAAAGTCTCTAAGATATTGTGTCTTGGCTTGAATTAATAAAAGAGTCATCGGCATTCTTTTTTGTGTCTGATTGACAAACCAGATGGCCAGTAATTTCTCCATTTCCTTTCTGCAGCCTTGTTATGGCTTTAAATCCTTTCGACGCGTTCACTGCCTCTTTTATACTATAGACCTATATTCTTCACTATTGTCGAACGGTTGAATGCGCCAATTCCAAGTCATGCGCTATCACTTTAACTTTTTACCAGCTTCATAGTCGTTTATGATTTTATTTTCATCTCTTTATCAACTGCCTTTCTTTAGTTCTTGGCGCTTCCTCTAGGTGAAATCATGCTCTTATTTTTCGACATCTTTACTATGGCGCTCACAATAAAGTACAAATTTATAAGCGAAATATTTAGACTAGGAGATTGTGATCGCTTTGTGTAGTGAATACTGACCGATTGGGGAACGAGACGAAGAAAGGGTACTTAGTACCCGCGCTTGAGAGCTGTTGTAAGTCCGAGTGGTCGTTAAACAGGTAGATCGTTAAGTGAAGAGTGCCTGTACTTGAATGACAATTTAAGAGAATTTTATTTACTTTTCTTCGCTTCGAATAACAATTCTCACTTAAAAGTTTCAGCTAAAAGTTATACGAGAACAATTCCTCAACTGCACAAAATTAAAATCTAAAAGAAATTACAAAAATAACATTTGATTTTGTGCATCGATGTATTAGTCCGCATATCAAAATCACACCTAGAAATTGCTTTGCCAAAACTTGAACTTGGCTTTTAACACACTTCGCATAACAAGTAACGTTTTATTATCTTTATTGAAAAAACGTTGAGAATGTAAATTAGGCCTACCATATTTCTGCAAAATATGAACATCATCATCATTTAGTTAGATCAGGGCTTCTTAAACTTTTTTTAGTCACGACCCCATTTATGATTGTGATTTTTTAGCGACCCTAAAAAAAATATAAAATGAAGATATATACAAATTTGCAAAAACAATAATGGTGTACTACCGCAGTTCACTCTTGTGCTACAATGGAACAGAGACAACTGAATACACTGAAAAGCGACAACACTACACTAGTTCACACTACAATCAGTGTTGCTGAATCATTGTCTCGCTGCACCAGAAGTGACACAAAGCGCAACTCACGAAACCTATGACACAAAGCGTGCCATTTTCAAACTCTCACAAATTATTTTCAGTATTTTGCATTAAAATCTCGCGACCCCAAGATTTCGCTAAGCGACCCCAAATGGGGTCGCGACCCATAGTTTAAGAAGTCCTGAGTTAGATAATTCTCCAACAACACATCTAATCTGAAATGCTAAACTATTGGACTCGTTTGCTTGTCAACAAGTAACAATAGGTTATTTGCGAAATAAATATTTTCTTAAAAATAATTAGTTCTGATATTAAATGCTGAAATAAAAACACGTGTTTAAACTTTTATAAACAAAAATAATTCTTACTTATATTTTAATTTTTACACACTAAAGTTCTCGTTTGAAATCATAATGCTATTGCGTATGCACATTGCGTAGTTTAATTAATAAGCAACGCGACAAGGAATTCGACACGCGGTGCACTTTCACGAGATCTACGGTCATCTGTCACATGGACGATTCTTATCTAACGACCTATCGAAGTTCTCGCCGTTGACGGAAGCCTTAAGGTTAAATAAGGAAAGCTGCAATCATTACGTGAACGAAATAGATTCACCTTTTATCTCTGACACTGAAAAAAAAGTAGCCTACTTCTTAAATCATCCTTCATTTAGCCTAATTGAAGATTATGACAGTTAAGTCAAAGTATGGCGAGTTCTATTAAATTAACGGTAGTCCGGATTTTGAAAGTTCCAAGATTTATTCATCGTTATAATAGCATAATTCCTGTTATTTATCGCGCTTATCCACTCCCGTATATAAATAAAACGCGTTTTAATCAAAGCGCCGGAATATTTTTAGAAAAACCAGTCGGACAAAAGTGACTATTTCTAGAAAGATCCTCCTTATTCTCAACGTAATTAAAGACCGTCGACCTTTGACCTACAGTAAATGGAAGGTATTTGTCCGCTTAATTTCTATCGCCGCCGCAGATATTCTCTATTCTACTTTAGATGAAGTGCCGACGGAAAATTCGCTAAGTTCACGACCGGTTAATCCAAAAAGTAACTGGTAAGAATTTTCTCTTCTCCGCCATCTTGGCAGATCACTCGTAGATCTCTAATGCGAAATTTGCCCATCGAAGAATTATTGGTCGATGTCATCGGCCGCACCAACGGTGTCCAGAGCATGTTCGGCCGATAATCAGAGACAAGTACTCCGATTCATTACTTTAAACGGCTCTTATCGGTCAACCGGTTCGTCACTATTCACTTCCCTCTTCCGCTCGAAATGTGCGCTTCAGTTCCCTGGTCGTCTTTCATAATCGGGAGATGGTTCAAACGGGAAGGACGGTGAAAATTATTGTTTGCTCCTTCCTCGACAGAATGCACGTGGAAGATGCTTTCTCTCACATCGCCGAGCACCCGTTAATGTCTCTTTCTGTTTAACGTTTCGGCCGTCGACACTCTTCGCCGGATGGAACACGGCCGATCAATTTTTTAGCTGTTTCGTCTCGTCACAAATTAAACTCGTCCCGACAGATGGCGCTAATCGAGACGGACGATCGGAGGGGAGCTTCACTTTTCCTCAAAAGGAAAAGGAGAAAACGGAGCGGGGAGGAAAGTTGCGTTTTTCCTCTTCTCGAAGTTTTTCCAACCAGAAAACAAAAGTCGGCTCTTACGGAAGAATCCCACTTCCGGTCACCGGAGATTTTTCCTTTCGCCGAATCCTTCTATTGAAAAATATTTACGGAATTTCCGGAATTCTCTCCAGACGACTGCCGGGTCTTCGGCCTCTTCGGGCTAAACCCCGTTCTTCTCATCAGAAAATTTTTTCCCACGAAAAAGCTGAAAACAAAACAAAAAAGATGATTTTCTGACGGTCCCGCAATAGAAATACACCAGGACGAGGACAGTTTCAATAAGAAAGATCAAGCAAAAGCTGGTATTGTCGATGGCAGGCCCTTGCGCAGTATTTTTCAATGGGTGGGGCTTAGAAAAATATATCTACATTGTATAAATGAATAGAGAAATACAACGCAATTTACTAAGGAAGTGCTAAACGAATACAAAATAAATATCAGTATATAGATATGTTATATGAATATAAAATATACACGTTTTATTTTGATGTTTTAATTCTTCACAAATGGGAGAAATGAAATACCTAAAACCCGTGTGCACGTCCTCGGTCGACATTATACTGGCAAAAATATTCGCGAAAGTGGGAAATTTGGCAACCGACTGTAAAAAAATCGCCGATTTTTCTTTCCGACATTCGAGACGCCTTCCAAATTTATCCTCTTCCGGTCGTTAACGGCGCTTTATTCCCCTTTCCCGGAAGAGGATCGAGACCTCTTCCGACTCGAGGTAGTCTCACCCTCTCTCGCCGAGGATTCTTTTCCACCGGAAGTTTTCTCTCCGCCGTCGAACGGCGACGGCGGCTTTCGCCGCGCCGCTCGGCTTCCACCAATGGGGACGGCGGACGCTCCTTCGATCGGTTGCCGGCGCGCGTGACCTCCGTCCGGCCAATGGGAACGGGAGTGGCGCCGGCCGTAACGGCGCGCGCGCGGCGTCGTCCGTCGACACGTCTTTCGTATGCGAGTCGACGTCGGCGGATTCGGCCATGAGTCGGGAAGTGGAGAGTCGTCCCGGTGCCCGCCGGCCCACCCGTCTCTTCCGGACCCTGCTATGGGCGACCCTGACGGCGGTCGTCGCCCCTTCTCCCGTCGACGACGTGGACGACTACCAGACCGTGTAAGTACTTCCGGCTTCTTCATTTCTCGGCCGGCCGCCGTTTCCGCTCGGCCTTTCGGGAAATTTCTCTTCTCCGGAAGCGCGCTGTCGGAGGAGGCGCGTGCGCTCTCTCCTTTCCGGCCACCGGTCGGCGCGCCGACCTGGGCACCGTAGACCGCGGCCGCGGTCCGGCGCCGGTTCCGTCCGGAGCGCTTCTTCTGGCGTCGGGGAATGCGCCGAGCCGCGAAGGGAAGGAAGACGACGGCCGTTTTCGTCTACGGAGGTCCGGCGACTTTTCCGGAACTTTTTCCTCGCCATTTTCGATGGTGCCAGGGTCTCCGGTCCGGGTCTCTGATGACGCGTGGAGAAAGGCTAGGAACGCCGCGTGGCGTCTGCGAAGGCGCGACTATAGCGGGAGGTGAGCGCCGACCGGAAGTTTTTGAAAAAAGCGGAGCTACGATCCAAGAAGGAACGGCGCGTTCTATTTTACTTACCAAAGAGAAAACTCGCTTTTCTCCTCCCCGATTCCAGCCAATTTTCTCTTTCGGCGCGACATTTACCGTAGTAATTCGGAGTAATTCGATTGCACACTTGGAAGAAACCGGTAAAAGTAGTAGCGCAGGTAACACGGTTTGGCCCGTAGAAGAATGTTTGTTTCGGAAATAATTAAGTTGTTTTCGTAACAATACACGAAAGGAGAAAGCGATTGTCCCGCTATCTAATCCACTTCAATGCATAAACGAACTGCTTTAATAGCACAATTGATTTTGTCGAACAATTTCCATGAAAGTCGGGACACGTGTCACGTTCGGTCGAGGTTCGATGTTTTTTTTTCTTCGCCGGTTGTAAAGAAACGAGCGAAGAGGAAAGAGAATCGGAAAGGAGTCGTTAATAATTGACCAATCGACGGAAGAAGCGTTCCACCGAGTGACGGGGCGCCTTTTTTTCCCTTTTCCTTGTGAAGTTGAGAGATAGAAAGACTGGTCGAGTCGGCCAGGAGGGAGAAAACGATTTTCTTTCTCTTACCTCTTCTATCGGTCGGATCTTTCGATTCAGCCGACTATTTCCTTTCGAAACTTCCGGTAAATAATATCTAGTTTTTAAAATAAATCGGAAAAAATGGAAGAAATTAACGGAGGAAAAAGTACAGATTTTAGCCATCCCGACGCGGACTCGGAGGAAGGAGAGGGGCCGGGACCCGAGCCAAGTTTTCGAGCGACCCGACGACCCACTTGGCACCCGACGACGCCCTCTTTTTCTGTTTTTCGTAAAGAACGAGTCGGATGTATTTGTCGTTGGCGCCGGTAAAAGCCTCTTCTCCGGAAGGCCGATTTCTCGGCGGGAAAACCTCCCGTACGGGAAAAGAGCGAGTTCCGCTTCGGCGGCGATCCGTCCAGGGTCTTTAAAAAAGTTCGTGCAGATTCCGACCGAAAGGGAAAGCGCTCGACTCTAGAAGAGAAAAATGGATCTTTCCTTTTCGTCGTCTCTGTCACCCTTTGATTTCTTTGATTTGTTTATTCGAATCTTTCTAATTTTTGGTGGGACAACGTCGACTCAATCTGTCTTCGCTTTCTTTCGGCCAGACCGAGTTTCCGCAGGTAGACTAGAGGCAACTTTTTCATAACTTCATCCAGGCCCTGCTGTTAGTTTTTGTCGGGTCTTCCCCGCGGACGCGTCAGTCATTAGTATCGACCAGGAGAGACGCGCGTCGGCGGATTTGGCTAACGACGGCCATCGATCGGACCGAAAAACGCTTTCTACTTCCGGTCACGTCGGAGGTCGCCCGTTTTCCGCTCGTGCGGACGAGCGGGGGACAAAACGACGAAGCGAAACTTCCGATCGAATTCCGGACCGCGCCTTTTCCGGCCTCCTGGCCGCGCGCCGAAAACTTTACGCCGACATGGCCACGCGACTGGCCCACGCTTTTCTCTCAGTTGGGTTATACTCCGGGAAAGAGAATTTTTTACTTTCCAGAATTTGAAGTTTTCCGTTTGCGAGATTCGACAGTCTTAATTCTTATCCGCTGCCTTTTTCTGGAATTAACCAAATAAAAAGTTAAGGGATGGTTTTCCCACCTGAAGGAAAAGCGGATGAGAGAGTCCACTTCGTCTCGGGCCTCTTCTTCCGATTTCGTCTGGGAATGCACTGACGTCTTGTTTTGTATGCTTTCAGGGTAGAAAACTGGGCTTTAAAGTTCGGAAGCGACATTTTCGACGGCAGCGCCAAAGCCGTCTCCCTGAGGAAGCTGAGAGAGGTGAGAACTTCTTTCTAATATTTATTTTTCAATAGTTTTGCCGAGGTAAATAAAGATGCGCTCTTTTCTGTCGACAGCAATTTACCGGCATGAACCCAAAAGTGAGTCCGATCGTCACCGACGAGATGTTTAAGGAGATGAGGACCAGCATCCAGAACATGCTAAACTGGAAACTCCGCATCGTCGAAGTAAGACCGACGACATTTTAATCGACCCTCAAAAACCCAATTTAATTATCCTTTCTTAATTAAACGTCGTGCTTTAATAAAGTCATAACCACTTTCGTTCGCCTTATTATTTACTCGTTTCGCCCTCTTAATCCGCCGGTTTCGCCTCTTCTTTCCGCTTTCCTACGCGTCCGACGCGCGCTCTGGAAAATGTCTGGCGTTCTTTTAATAACCCGGAAAACTCCTTTATTAAAACGCTAGAGAAGAGCGTAAATCAGTCTTCGGGGAAGCGGAAAGATCGGAATTCCGGTCCGTTCGCTTCCATCCTTTACTGGACGCGACGTGTTCCACCTTTACCCTTCTTTGCTAATCATATTTTCTCTTTTTCAGAAAGCGGCCGACGCAGCGGAAGCCGAAGCTCTCAAGCACGACCCGGATAAACCCGTAAAAGTAATTTTTCTTCTTTTCCTTCAAAAAACCGAAAAATTTTTGGGAAGGGAAGCCGAATTAGGGAAAGGTGTAGAATGTCTTCGGACTCCTCCCGCTTGGATTTTGGTTCATCTCTTTCCCTCCAAAACACTGATTTTCTGCCTGTCAGCAGAAGTTTTGGTCGAAAACTTGAGTCGCTGAAGGCTCAAAAAGATAGGCGGCACTCTTTCCTTTGGCTCGGTCTTTGCGAATCCCGCGATTTCCTATTAGTGATAAATGCCACTGTTAAAAAAAAAAAAAAAAACACGTTGGCAATTCGGTAGATGGAGGACAAATGACAGAATTGGAAGATTGACGCTTTCTGTTTGGTTTTAGTTCAAATATTACAACGCCAAGAAGATAAGAGATCCGAGAGAAAAGATCTCTAAAGAAGAGGAGGAGGAAGAGGAGGAGGAGGAAGAGGACGACGACGAAGAAAGCGAAGAAAAATACCAGTTTTTGGAACTGGAAAGAAAAAGGACTTTCGACTGGCCCATTAACTTGACGTATAGTAGTATTCACGTTCCCACCAACGTCTACCATAAAGGTGAGCCTTTTTCATTTCTTCATAATTTTTTAAATGCTTTCGGCCGAAAGAAATGCGCGCCCTTCCTTCTCCATCGTAAGCCGCCGGATATAAGGGGTGGGGAGATACAACAGCCGTTTCTCGACAGCGTCTCTGGCTTAATACGTCAATTCTTCCGGGACGTCGACCATCCTTCAGAGACGCTCAGAGCGGAAACGCTTATTTTTTTTCCTTTTTCCTCGGAGAGAGAAGGATTGGGGAAAAGATTTCTTGCTTGCTTTATTTAAATCGGAAGGTATATGAGTCGGACCTTACTTAAAAGAATTAACGACGATTCTTAACGACCGGGATTTTTCGTGCAGCTCCCGCCATTGTGGACGGAATCAAATGGTCAGACGCCATCACTAGCACTTTCAAGAACAACCTGGCGGTGGATCCTTTCCTCTCTTGGCAATATTTCGGAAGCAGCACCGGATTCCTCCGTATATATCCCGGTAGGTTTTTCTTCTTTGTTTTCTTAATTTCCTCCATCTTTCTCTAATGAAAGCATTGTAATTCAGCCATGCAGTGGCGAAACGGAGAGAAGACCGATATGTACGACTGCCGCATGAGACGCTGGTGAGTATTTCCTTTTCTTTCTTCTCTTCGTAAATACTTGAAAAGTTCTGAAATCTGGTGGGAAAGGAGTGGTTCGTCTTCTTTTCTGAATGACGTTTTTCTGCGGAAGAAACGTCAATTTAATAAAGAAAGTTCTTTAGTTAAGTTGAAGGATCGGAGGCTTTCATCTTTAAGTCGGTCCGTTCTTTATACCTAATTAACGTGAATTCGGAAATAACTAAAGGAGATAAACGTTCTGTAAAAGTTCGAAAGGAATTGTACGCAATTAAGCAGCGTTAAATTAAGGTCCGAGCTCGCGTCTTCGGGCTCCGTTTCGATCCGCTTTCTAGAATTCTCTGCGGTCGAAACGGGAAGTTAAAAACTGTTTCTCCGTTTACCTTTGAACCCCCAAGGGTAGATTCGTATTATTATTTCTCTCCTTCACCTATTTAGGGTGATGACATTGTTCGAAAGTAGCTCTCGGTGTAGTCTTAATTTAGTAACGAATATTTGCGCATAATCGTTGTATTTCTAAACACTCATATAAGGAATTACATTAGAAAGAAAGAATCGGTTTCCGTTTGGTTGGAGCCTTCCTGGATCTAATCGACTTTTCGTTTGGGAAAGAGTAAGAAGTTCCCAACCACTTTCTAAAGCGTTGGATGCTGGAATAGTAGTATGATTTCCCGTTCTACCAATCCAGCACTCTCGACTCTTACCGAAATGACTGTCACCAAAGTCTCCGGATTACTCTTTCCTTCTTAACGTAGAATTCCGTTGAAGAATAATGCGAAAAAGCAGATTCCTCGAGAAAGGAAGAAAGTGGAGAAAAATCCCGAGAACCGTACAAATTTAATGAATGAGGTTCAAACGACTATGTCAAAAAGGGAGAATTCTTTTTTACTCGACTAGACGTGTACCGTCGTTCTCCGTACAATATTGTATTAAAAAGAAGATAACCGGTCACTTTCTAATTTCGTCGTTGAAGTCATCAGCCCTGCTTCTTGCGTTCTCCCATTTCGCCTAATAAAATAGACTTGCAATTATTTACCGATCTTTGTAGTCTTTAGTAAACGGGTTGAAGACTAACTAACTCGGAGACCTTTTGATCTTCCACCAGAGGAGGAAGCGAAAATCGACAGCTTCTTTTTCTTGAAAAGATTTTTTTTGTCCCTGTATTAAATATTCGTTCCGTATTTTTCGTTTCCATCAAATAGTCAAAAACGATAGGGGAAACTCCATCTCGTCACTTATCCCAAAACACTCCCTTTTTTTCTTTTCTTCTACGGTATTCTCCTCTTCCAGCGCCTCTTTTCTATGTTACATTCCGCAGGAAGTCGGTGACGGCCGATTTCCGGAATGAGGACGTCTCGGAAAAGCGAAAGATTGCCCAAGAATCAGAGCGAGAGGCGCGCTTGGTTTTCGTTCCTTCTGCCTTCTCCAAAAATAAACAAAAATAAATAATATGGCGCGCGCGGAACGAACCTGATCCGTTCCGCTCGTGCCTTATTGTAAATGTGCGTCTGAATCTTGTCGATGGACTGTGGATGAAGTCGGAACGAAGAAATGCGACCGGAATGTGCTTGTTTACAGAACGGAAAGAGTTTGGTAGTAAGAAGAACAGCTGAGTATGAGAGATTGGAGGCTGTCCATCGTTACCTTCTATCAAACTTTGATGAAACGGACAGACAACGCGTTCTTCTCGTATTGAAAGCCAAAAATATCGATTGCCCCGGGAAAATTTTACATCTATTATTTCTCGTATAATTCGACAGAGAGCGTCCATTTTCTCGTCTTCCGAGGGCAAAAATTCGAATTCTTTCGTACTTTATAATAGGATTTTTCGTCTCTCGATAATTCCAACTTTTTCACCGCTCGGCAATAATCGAAATTCTTTTTCCCTCTCTTCTGCCGTTCCGCTCTTCTCTTTCGATTTTCGATCGGTCTCACCTCTCACCCACTTTCGAAGAAACTCTTTGGCTTCGCAGCGTACTCTGTTGCGGCGTCACGCTCTTCGATGCCGATTTAAGAAATTTTCGGAAGTCGGAGGAAGTTTTCTTCTCTCTCCGATCGAACGAGTGAGCGAAAGACAGCGTTTCCCGCTTTCTGTTGGAGTGATGATGCGTTGGAAATCTTACAGGTTTATCCAAGCGGCCGCCTCTCCCAAAGACGTCGTGGTGTTGCTGGACGGAAGCGGGTCCATGTTGGGTTTGAGAAAAGAAATCGCCCGCAACGTGGTCCTGACCATCCTCGACACCTTGACCGAAAACGACTATTTCACCGTAATTAGGGTAAGTACCTCATCCAAATTTCTATTCTCGCTCCACTTCTACTCATCTCCGTCCCTTTTAGTTTTCTGACGTCATTCAATACATGGTTCCCTGCACCGAGGACACCCTGGTCCAGGCAACCGACTTCAACATCCGGGTGAGTGTCACTACCTTGAACTGGAGATCCCGACATCCGAGGCTGACCTTTTGTCTTTCGACAGGAATTCAAAGAACATCTGAAGAACCCGGAAACGGTTAACATCGCTAATTTCAGTCTGGCTCTCATCACTGCTTTCGAATTGCTGCAGAAGGTGAGCGTTCTTCTTCTTTTCCTCGTCCAAAATTCCGTCTCCTTAACGAAGGGATTTCCTCCTATTTCCGTTTCTTCGTCTGACCGACGTCTCGGATCCATTCGTGGCAGGTACTGTACAGTTCCGTGAGCTCGTCTGTCTACTGAGTATAGACAGACGCACTCATACAATTTTAAGTTTTTATGGTTGGATGGCGCGTTCGATACCGAAGATGTATTCAATAAATAACGGTAGACGCGAGGAGGACGACATTTTTCGGAAACGGAAGAGGAACGGGTGAACTTAAGGGTGGAAGGAAAAACATTCCGTAGCTCTCCCTCTCTGTTTTCCCGAGGAACGTACTACGAATGTCGCCTAAATTTTCTAAGCGCTTCTTTATATATAACCAATCGAGTTTGATTGAAGACTCTGTAATTAAATGACAAAATTAGCGACATTGAAACATAAGGAGAAAATAGTAACGGATTGAATCGAATTTCTAATTCGACACTTTCAATTTCTTTTTATATTTCAATGTCGGACGTTAGCGTAGCTTTCTGGGGATAGGCGGAAGTAGCTTTTCTGCCCAGTCTTATATAAATCGCTGTAAAAATACTGCCGACGACGATGTTTTGAGGTATTTTTCGTGACGTCGTAAAACTTAGATTACGGTATAAACGTTTGCGCTCTCTCCCATCAAGTGGCGTGCATTTGGCCTGTAGGAAAGTCGGATTGGGAGAGCCTCAATTTTTAACCAGATAAGGCATTTTCCGTAGGAAAAACGGGAGTTTTCGATATTGGTCGTCTTTCGAAGAATTCGCAACCACTCATTATTCTCTTCCTCCTTTTCGAAAGTGCCAAAGGGGTAAGGGGACCTCCGGTAGTTTAAATTAATCTTTACAGACTGAATATTATTTCCGACTGTGTTCTTCCACAACCTGGAGAAGTTTACCGAGACGTCGGCCCCATTTCACTATGAGCGAAGACATGCTGCTGACTTTATTTTTTTCGGCAGTATAACAGGAGCGGAGAAGGGAGTCAGTGTAACCAGGCCATCATGCTGATCACCGACGGAGCTCCGTACACTTACAAGGAGATCTTCGAGAGATACAACCATCCCAACATTCCCGTAAGAGCCTCTTATCTCTTCTCGCTCTCGCTCTTTTCCTTTTTCTCTCCTCCTTATCTTAATCGATTCCGTCCGCAGGTTCGTGTCTTCACCTATCTCATCGGTCGAGAAGTCACCGACATTCGGGAAGTCAACTTCATGGCCTGCGACAATCGAGGTGAGTTCTACCCCTCCCGACCCCGCCCGGAAACCGACGCATCGTTTCCGTCGGACGTCTCGCGGGGTGTAGGATAAATAACAATTAAGTAAAGGCGGCCGAATCTGGTAAAGGAACTTCTGTGGTCGGAGTTAGCTCCGACGGAAGGATTTTCTTTAAATAATTGAAATTCTGCGGAGTGGGAAAGAAGAAATAATAAAAAAGATACAGAAAGGATTATACGTGAAAAAAACCAACTTTAGATTTCACCTTTCGTCTGTTATTAAATGTAAACAAAACGAACGAAGACAGGGAAAGTAAGAAAGACTTTTGACTGCTCTTTAAAAAATTACGACAGGGAGGGGATTTTCCATTAAAAAAGAGACAAGAGTAGAGACAAAAAGACTAAAATGGCAGAGTAATCATAAAATACGTGAAGTACGAGAACGACAGAAGCGCGTTCATTCTCGTTCCGACAATTATGGCTTATTTTAAGTGGGAAAAGCGCGCCGGACATCGGTCGAATCCGGATGGAAATCGTTGTTTCTCGAAGAAGTGATGCCTAGAAAACAGATTAGATGCGACGGAGGGACAAAATGAAGGCGGAAAGAGAATCCGGTGGATTCCTATAAAAATTTCGTTAAGGGCGACAGGAGACTAACGGAAAAGTTTCGAAAGGGTTGTTAGACAAATAAGCTATTATAAAATTGCTGAAATTTTTCTTTTTTTTACATTAATATTTTTTGGTTTTCGTGATTAAGTATGGTTATGACTTAATCACACTTTTTTAAACTGCATTTTTGTAACATAATTCTGGCTTCTGTCAAGATATGTATTTACCAAGGAATCGAGTGGAAATGCCGCCGACACTCCGTTCGGGTATTCTAAGGTTTAAAATTAAAAATACGACTAGATTTCGACACTTCTTGCCTTCTCGCGCATGAGTAAAAAGACGGAGGCTCCATCCGGCACCTCCATGTTATTCTTGAGGTCCAACGGGGCAAATTACCACCATTTAAACGTTACTCCGAAAATATTTATGCTTTGGGATTGTCGATACCACATTCCGTCCCCGTTTTAGCTTTACTCTTTCCATAATACGCGGATTGCTGAAATCTCTTCCTTCGTTCGAATTCATCGTCCTTTACGAAAAGGAGGAGAAGGCCTTTCTTCGGTCGATGGCCTTCTCTTTCTTTTCATCTCGGAACCCGTCGTTTTCCATTGGAACTTGTCTTCCGTCGTGTTCTATCAATACGAGTGGAGTAACGCCTTTCTTTCTAATAAACAACCAAAAGTTTGTTAAAAGTTTTACTTGTTTAATAGAAAGAAAGAGTTTATTGATCACGTTTTTCGAGATTGAGGAATGTAACTTATATGATGCATGGTATCACTATAGTGCATTTACACATTATGACTAAACTCTATATTTGGTTATGTTTATCCGATTTCGGGATGGGCCACTCCTCTGAAACATTAAAATGCATTGCTATCTGACAGATGCATCCTCAAAGTTTCGGCCGTCTATCTTAATTAGAAATGGATGAAATTTCAGTTGCAAGATTTCAGGACATGATACAAAGAGAGTTAAATAAAGGCGCTAACGATAATAAAAACACCTCCTTTCCCTCATTCTTTTACATTTAATCAACCGGCGATTGTTCCAAAAGTTTCGGATTTATAATAAACATTTTACCTGGTCGCCAGTAAACTGGATTCCTCGCGTTACCTTAGGTTTACGACACGGCTTTTCTTTTTACTTCGTCACCTTTTAAAGACTGTTGAAGTGGAAGAAAACGTCGGAGTCTGACATTTTAATCGGTCGTACGTTAAATGTTGGATTTTGGCATCGGTTTAATAGGCAGGTAAGTTCTTCCCGTTCGGATTACGTCGTCGGTCCCCGATAAAGTAACTCGTTTAGAGTTTGACCGTCGACCTTTTCCACATTGGAGAGACTCAGAGACTAAAGTAAGGTCTCCGAGGCATTCGCGTAATAGACACTGGAGTGAGGTGGCAAGAGGATGGATAGACACCGTCCGACTCGCTAATTACTTACCGACAGAAGAGAGTGGATTAAGGACTGAAGGAAAGTGTTCGGTTCCTTAAGTCGTCCGGGTATGAGAAAAACCGATTGCCTATCGGATTAAAGAACCGTTAATTACGGACGGTGGTCGGACGGAGAATTCGGAAACCTAAGGAAGCCAATTATTTCCCACTCGTAACAAACCGAAGTTTTTAAAACGTGCGCATTTTGTTATCGTCACCGGTTTAATTTCGGCCAGTCTTATCGAAAATAGTGACGACCGCAGAGTTTCCATTTGTTATAGGAAAGTCTTTCTGATCGTGAAAAAGCAACGCTACTGTCTACTCCGATTCCACTTCGTTTCATTCGTACCTAATTAATTATTTTAATTAATCGTAATACAAAAGAAAGCGCGGGCGAGATTCGCTGCCGACGTTACGGATTTGGACTTACGGAGGACGAGAGCCGAGTCGATGGGCGTTGTCTGTTTCGCCTGAAATTCGATCTATAAGGTGCGAATGGAACTCCCCGTCACCTTTTACATGTAATTTACGGGTACATTACATGTAAAAGGTGACGGGAAGACAGGGAGTTTACTCGGTCTTTCCGCCCCGGAGAAAAACTATTTTCGTTTACACGTCTGCCTTCGTCATCTGTCGGAACGAGATCTTCCCATTTACTTTACTAAAATTTTTCTGATTCGTTCTTCCAAACTTAGAAAAGGCATCAGGTTGGACGTTCCACTCGACGTGCAAGAAGGTGGAAGGAAATTTATTTCGTTCTCACCAGACGAGTAGAGCTCCGAAAGATTTTGATAAAAGACGAAGCAGTTTGGTTGTCAATTCATTCTTACCTTTTATCCTACACTTAACTCGCTTTATTCTTTAGCCGTATTTTCAATTCGGTCCGTAATATTGCTATACAGGACACTTTTAGTTCTAACACACGGGACCATTATACTGAAATTTCCGACCTTCAATTTACTCTCTTCTACTCGTATGGCTTTTACCCGAGTCTTTAAATTTGGCGTTGGTAATTTCAAACGGCGCTATTCGCGTTATTACTATTGTTATTAAGATATTAATATTCGAATGAATCTTCTAACTGTGGATTACTTTTTCAGGCTACTACACTCACGTGACGACTCTAGCGGAAGTCAGAGAACAAGTTCAGGTGAGAAACGCATCCTCCCTATTTTCTAGTCAAATTCGACATCTCGGATGGCCGATTTATTCTTTTCTCTTATATTACGACCGAGTGACATTCTTTACGACGCGTAATCCGATATCCTCGGAAACAAAAAAGAGCGCATGATAAATTTTTATAAAAAGTGACGGAGATTCTTTAATCCGGATGCAAGGAAAGACGATCTAAGAGTGGAAAATTACCCCTAACCTCGGTCCTTTTTCTAATCGAGGAGCCCAACGATCGAAGGTTTGAATCGACGCTTACACTAGAAGGCAAGAAGTTTGTTAAATGCAGTTAACGATCTGACGGTCATTAAAAAGTAAATACGGTTGATTCTAGTTAGCGTTAACCTCATTTAGCGTCAACTATCGGTTAATATCACCAGTTTTTCATGTCCCGGCATAAATTGAACTCTTCGAAGAAACTCGATTAACGGTTACCATTACTTTTTTCTATTATACTATACTATAACATCAACGTTTCTTTCGTTTAATAGACCTATCTCCTAGGATCAGACCTAATGTCATTAAGTTTAGAAAATTAAGCAAAATTATTGGATTTCTATATTAAATGTTTCAGGATTTTTCAAGTTAAAAAAAATTTTATCTATTCACATACAAGTTGCTTGAAAGTACCGTTATCTTGTATTATATTAAGAAATTTTGATTTTGAAATGTAAAATTTAAGTTAATTAGTATCGCATTCATTGCTTTCAACGCCTGCAAATTGAGCTAAGCGAGATCCGTGTTTAAATCTGAAGTTTAATTATTTAGACTTTCAAAATAGAAGCGATGATAACTGCTTTAGTGGCTGATTCTGGTAACTCGATTCCTTTAAACATTGCTTTAGAACGACTCAATTCAGTTCGTATGTAAAAGCTTTTGAGCTTGTTCATTGTAACCAGCCGGCCATGCTTAAGAATATACAAACTTATATAGAGCTGTTAATCTGAAGTGTAGACTCTATCGTCACGTTAGATTATTTAATTAAACTTCAGGAATATCGAGTGAAAATTGAGTGACGTGTTTGCTTATTCTCGTAAATGGAATTGAATTGTTACGCGCGCTTTGGATAATTAAAAAGGAAAAGAAAAAGAAAATATTTAGGATTAATCACAGACGACAAAGTAACACGGTTACCTGAAAAAGAAAACCTGGGAATCAGTATTGAAAAGTGTAAAGGAATTAATTATACATTAACAGACTATACAGACAAAAATATCATCAAAAGGTTTTACAAAACAATAATACAAGTATGTGCCGCTTAATTAATTAATGGCGGGAATATGTTCTGAGAAATATGATTTTAAGCGAACTTGACAAATTTATATGGTATAAAAGGTCACTGCATAAATTCAGGCGTCCCAGGCCAATTTGAATTAGGAGGTCTCCTGTTCAGTATTGACTTCAAACATTGTTTTTCCGGAATTTTGGGGGGATCCTCGGTGTCCTCTTCGATTCAACACTGTCCTTGCAAAAACAACTAACATCAATTATAGATAAAATTTCATTACAAACAGAATTAGATATATGACATTTATGAACAATTAAATGTAATCCACAAGAAAAATTCATGAATAATACACTTAATTGAATTAGTATGTATTTTTATTGCAACAAATAATAAACTAGATTAATTAAATAAGAATTAGAATAATATGTACGTACTTATAGGCTAAATAGTTATTAATAAAACAAAGAGGAAACAACTTTTTATAAATTAAACACAAACGCACACACACACATTTCTTAGCACATAGCAGATTAAAAAAATTAATAAATAATAATAATAAAAAGAAATTCGTAATTACAACGAAAATTTTAAGAAAAATTACAAAGCGGATTAAAGGGATGAATAAATAAACTATATTATATTTTACTTTTCGTGCTTTTTGAGCTGAGAAATTGTCAATCAGTTCGTTTTACCCTGTTTGAAATGCCATTCTCGATGTATAATATTGTCAAATAACATAATTTTTAATTTAATTCTTAATTATTTTAAGGACATTTGTTCTAATGATGCGTTAAAACAGGAATTGATAAATATATTTTTAAAATTATGTCCACATTAGGAAAAGTATAAAATATGAATCAGTTTATACATAAATAGAATTTATATTTTCTTTTTTTTTCTAAATTGTATAAACTGTTTAATTCTTCCTTAAAAAAATTAATTTTTCTTTAAAAATATTAACATTGATGTCATCTGAATAGGTGTTTATTAAACTCATAATACAGTTATCATACTCTTCTGGTGATATTTCCTTTAAGTTTAGGTTTTTGAAAATATCAAAATAATTCAAAATATTTTGGAATGCCTTAATACGTGTATTAATTTCTGACACCAAGCGATCACAAATCACATTTTAACAATTTACGAGACGAAAATTTCTACGTTTATTTTATTTACGTTTTCGGATGTAATTAAAAAAATCCAGCAACCAGTTGCTTAATTTTCCCGCCAACATTTGGTGGCGCCATCTGTTACGATATTTTATTTTAAAAAAACTTTTAATATTTTTAATTATTATAAAATAACAAAAAAAAACTTAATTTTAAAAGGTGAGATGGATTATATCGACTCGAGATATGAACACGACCCCCTTTTTCTTCCATCACCAAATTTTAACAGTATCAATACCCCTAGTAAACAAACCTTCTTGCAAAATTTAAGAAAATTTTTAAGCTTCAACGAAGATGAACAAAGTGCTCCTTCACACATAAACAGGTATATACAGATAAAAATCTCGAATTATTCTGCATATTCTCGATGTTTCTAGGTGCCGAGTCCAAAAATGTAAAAATTATTTGACCAATCGTCATACTTTCCCTCTGTTATAGGCCTATATAATAATAGATAAGAGAGCCGGGAAAGTAAAAAGTACTGGCGGTTCCGTTATAATCTTAAGAAATTGTTTTACGTCTATATGTGGTCCGTCGTTAAGCTGCATCTACCTATACAACCAAAATTGAATTATGGAATACTTCTATCAGGAAAAACATTTAATTACAGTACATTCTAAATCAACTGCAAGTGTTTACGAAATAATTTTCTACGCCCTTTTAAACCTCGAGAATAATTTATTAACCTCAATACATTACAAAAACGAAGAAATTGATAATACTATATACTGTATATTAAAAAAAATTATTCGTTTCATAATATAAGCTGCTATAGAATAAAGTGAAACACCATTTAATACATAATCACTACAAATAAAAAGAATTTGGATGTAAAGAAAGAATAGAAGAGTATTTTCAAAAACATCGAACAATTGGGCAAAAATCTATTCCACACATCTGTAAAACTTTCGAACTCCACACAGGAAAATATAAAAAGAATTAAAGATCATAGTTAAGTAGAATATGACATGAAAACTATAACGAAAATGTATTGAAATAAGACGAATATTAAATTCAACTAATATAATAGCGTTATTATTATTATTATTTTTTTGAAAAGATTTCTGAAAAACATAGCTACGAAGTCCTTTTGGCTTGTAATTTGCATGATCAATTTGCATGTTTAAGTTAAGTGAAATAATACTTTACACGTCGAGCAAAACATAATTCAAGGATAAAAATTTCTGATGTTATTCATTTTCACAATTAGCTAAAAATACAATATATTTGGAAAAAACAATTGCAGTCTTACGATTATACTTATAGTGATATATTATAATACCTATGCAGTATAACTCTCTCTGAGGAAGGATCTATCTACTGTATTAATAATAATTGTCGAGTTTTTAAGTACAGTACATTCCATTCGCTCTTCGATAAAGCGAAAAGTAGAAAGACCCTCGTTGCGTGCTCACCGGTGGCTGTCTGAATAACACTACTGATTACTGGTAGCTGGTCGTGGGTTTGCGCTTCGCCAACGGGCTAGCCACGTGCAGTTTTCTGGGGTATCTTCCGTTAGTAACATGTAAATAGAAGCCAGTTTCCCATAAAAGACCTCCCGGATGGTATTTCCCTCTTGGTAGATCGCGCAAATGTTGCGTTGCCGTATACGAATAAAACCAAACTAAAACCGTCGTTTCGTTATTGCTTTCCCGGCAGTTATAAGTGAGGGAAAGTAAGGCGATCGATCAAAAAATGATTCCCCAAGTTTTTTACATTTTTTGGACTCAGAGTACCTTGAAACGTCGAGAAATGCAAAAAAATGCATTTCCTGTTTTTTTTCTGTATGTATAGATGTTAGTGTTTGGGGCACGATTTTGTTCACCTGTTTGAAGCTTAATAACTCCTATGCTTATTGTCGAAAATTTCTGAAATTTTGCAGGGAAGTTTGTGTAATAGGGTGATTTATGCTATTAAATTTTGGTGGTTAAAGGTCGAGGGGAAAGGTGTGGAGATAAAGGGGTCGTGTCGTATCTCGAGTAGGGTCTGACTTGACGATTTTACTCATTAGCATTTACAACTTTTTTATAAACCGACCCCTACCCTCAAAATTAAGTTATTTTTACCATTTTACAATAATTAATAATATTTAAAAGTTCTTTTTAATAAAATATCGTAACAGATGGCGCCACTAAATGTTGCCGGAAAAATTAAGCAACTCATTGCTGGATTTTTAACTTTTAATTAATAGTAATTAAGTTCCATCGTCCTGATTGATAATTTTTTGGCACTTAAAGGCCCAAAGAGGTTCTTTTTCTAGACCCATAGTGGGTTTACTGGAACCTCTTTGGGTTTATCTAAGGCTGTAGGCTGACGATGGAATGCTCGGTGTATCCGGGCAGATCGCCTTAAAAAATTCCTGGGAATTGCACGTACAGTACAATACAATCCTTAGTTTCCCAGAGCGGTAGGCTGACGCATTAACCGAGTCGGCCACCAAATAACAATGGTAGTGTCAAAATTACATATTTGTTAACCAAAGTTAATTGAGCTAATCGAGAACGTTTGTACTCTTAAACCTAACATTCCTTCCTACAATTTTATATTTCTGTTTGTTGTTTGATTTGCGTGTCGACCAAATCACACAAGACGACATTGCCGCAGCCATCCGTCGTACCAGTTACGCCACTGACCATTACTTTTTGTAACGGTTCGATAAAAACCGATTATCAAATGCGTATACTTCTCTGCTTGTGTTATGTGCGAACACCATTAACCTATTCGGCGTGATTGATAGGGTTACTAACGTTCAGAATTTTTCGAACTGTCCGAAATTTCAGTTATTATTTAAAAAATTTTTCAGATATGTACAGTACTGTACTTTAGATGGACAAAGAATTTGAAAAATTCCGGGAACTTTTCATGACGGACCGTCCATGAAAAGTTTTCGGAGTTTTTCGAGCAGTTCGGATTCGTTCTCCGGTGTGGTAGGCTGACGCATTAACCGCTTCGCCATCCGTTTGTCTCATCACCATAATTATCAACGGAAGGAGGAAACGTTCTCAAGATTGTACCAGTTTGATTGTACGTCTTCTTTTGCTCAACACGTTTTGCTTTTTTCACATTGTGTTCGAAATTTGTTACTCTGAAAGTTGACAACACTAATGACTGACGGAACATCGCTTATCGTCCAGCTGTGTAATGACATTTATGTTGGATGTTGCTTTATTTATAGGAATTTTCGGAACAGAAATCAGGTTTCTAACGCTATTATTAGGCTAGTGTCGTCCTACTCTTTTTGAACGTCGAGAATCGTCAGGTGGATGACTTTTTAACCGGAATATTGATTTGAACACCCTTAAACAATAATAAAATATTTTAATGATAACTTTTCTCGGGAATTTCCGGTCACGCCACCGAATAATATCTAGAAATTGGCTCGATTGTGATGCTGTTAATGCTTCCGCGCCATCTGGTGATTAGAAGGCCACTTTCGACAAAATGAAAAAAAAAAAAAAAAACAAAAANACTTTTTGTAACGGTTCGATAAAAACCGATTATCAAATGCGTATACTTCTCTGCTTGTGTTATGTGCGAACACCATTAACCTATTCGGCGTGATTGATAGGGTTACTAACGTTCAGAATTTTTCGAACTGTCCGAAATTTCAGTTATTATTTAAAAAATTTTTCAGATATGTACAGTACTGTACTTTAGATGGACAAAGAATTTGAAAAATTCCGGGAACTTTTCATGACGGACCGTCCATGAAAAGTTTTCGGAGTTTTTCGAGCAGTTCGGATTCGTTCTCCGGTGTGGTAGGCTGACGCATTAACCGCTTCGCCATCCGTTTGTCTCATCACCATAATTATCAACGGAAGGAGGAAACGTTCTCAAGATTGTACCAGTTTGATTGTACGTCTTCTTTTGCTCAACACGTTTTGCTTTTTTCACATTGTGTTCGAAATTTGTTACTCTGAAAGTTGACAACACTAATGACTGACGGAACATCGCTTATCGTCCAGCTGTGTAATGACATTTATGTTGGATGTTGCTTTATTTATAGGAATTTTCGGAACAGAAATCAGGTTTCTAACGCTATTATTAGGCTAGTGTCGTCCTACTCTTTTTGAACGTCGAGAATCGTCAGGTGGATGACTTTTTAACCGGAATATTGATTTGAACACCCTTAAACAATAATAAAATATTTTAATGATAACTTTTCTCGGGAATTTCCGGTCACGCCACCGAATAATATCTAGAAATTGGCTCGATTGTGATGCTGTTAATGCTTCCGCGCCATCTGGTGATTAGAAGGCCACTTTCGACAAAAAAAAAAAAAAAAAAAAAATGACGAGCGGTGTAAACGGTTACTTTTGAACGATTTTCTTATCTGAACAACTTAGAACAATGATCGACTACTATTTAAACATTTTGGCCAATAATTCGATTGGATGTGGTAAAAATTTGCGTTAATAAACTACGACCGTCAGTTTGACATCGTTTCTGAGACACTAAGTACGATTAACCCACGGAGTATAACGTTCTTATATCTATTTATTTAAGTCTTGTTAACTCACCTTTAATTTATTAATTTAATTTTTCTTCGACGAGACGAGATTAGGCATCGATAAATGTGAACCTATCGCATCGTAATTTATATTAAAACTTTCGGGTTCTGCCTTGCCAATAAAAATACCAAAATTATAGTTCTAATTTTCTCACAACGTGTACATAGGAAATTCACTAGGCAAATGTTCTGAATTTTAAAAAAAATATTTCAGTTTTTGGAGTTACTTAAAAAGAAGCGATGTGACTCGATTGTGAAAAATCCAAAATACGAAGTTATTTTCAAATGAAATAATGAAACTCCTATTTGCATTTTTCATTGAGATATTTCTTTCTTCTTATCATTGGAGAGCCACTTCGAAATCTAATCGTCGATTAACGTTAAACGAATTTATTAACAACGTTTATAAACTAGGAATTAATCTTGTAGAATCAGACCCGATCGCCCCCTCCCATCTCGTCGCTAATCGAATCCAAACGACGATATTTGGTGGATGTTAGCGAATACGTTATAAGATTTTCTCCTCTTCTTTAAATAAATCGACGAAATTGTCGGATGTCTTAGGAACTTTTACAGTCGGAGAGAAAAAAAAGAATCCGACGTAAAAGTTTGCGCTTACTAAATGACTTTTGACTAAATGATCATGTCTGATTCTAATCTTTTTCCATTCGTATTCGGTTCAAACTAAGGACGAGATAAATCCGGAAGACGTAGAATTAATCGTCCGATGGAATTTCGACCCGGGCCATTATTCTAACGATTGCGTTTTTGTGCTTTCAGAAATACATTCCAGTCATGAGCCGCCCGATAGTGCTGTCCGGCGTCAGAACCACCATCTGGACTTCCGTCTACGCCGATATCTCGGTGAGTCTACCTTTATCTATCGTACTTTAGTGAATATTGTTCCGTCGATTCACTACGTCGATAGACGTCGTCTGGTGTCACCGTCGACGATGACACCAGACTAAGAACGGTCGGAGCTATTAAAGGATGAACGGAAACTGCCGTCGCTGCGCTTGCTTTGTTTCTGCTAGAAATTAATTATTGTGATGTAATAAACAAAAAACATTCGAGGGAGATAAGTCGGACGATATCACAACGTGAGTTCGAACTTCGTTTCGCGCCACATGATCCCTATGACCGTCACTATAAAATTTCTTACGGATATTTGCATTATTCTGTTATTTTTGTTTCTAGTGTCTGTCGCTCATTTAAAGCTTCTTTCCATAAACGTAGTCGCCGTTAACCGTCCCGTATTTATTGGAAAAGTATATTTATTCGCGTCGCCAATAGCTGTCGTACTAAAATAAATTATACAGGCCTACTATTAATTAAATACGCGCGAGCCCAGTGCCGTAACTAGGCAGGTGCAACAGGTGCACCCGCACAGGGTCCACTTGAAAGATGGGCCTAAAATGCATGTATTTGTTTTATTACTTTCCCAAACCTAATTAATCTAGGGGCCTAAATGCAAATTCCTGCACAGGGCACAGGAATGGCTAGTTACGGCACTGCGCGAACCACTTCGTAACTGACCCGATCCAGTTTTTCCCATTATTACGACGTTATATGACTACTTAAAGTTTACAGTTTAGTTATTTCTAACAATTTTTGCCAATTTCCCTAGTGAGAAATGAGCCTGCAAAAACAGAATGTCGATTTGATCCTACGTATTATCATCACCTAAGTACAGTACACTTATTGCCGTGAAAATAATTGTGTGGCGAGTTAATAATAATAATAATTTTTTTTTATCCGAACAAATTAATCAGTCTTCCGATCAAATTCGATTGGTTCTGTATAAAGATGTGTTTAGAAATATTTGATAGCACTTGGACGTTTTTGCGGAAAGACCACGTCCGAGAAGGAAAGCGCTACGGAATTCTTTCCGTTCCACCTTTAAATCGTCCATTTCTATTCCGTTCTCCAAATCGTAAATCTCCTTCGCTTCGCACCTACTGTTATTTACATCTTTGGCGTCGAAGCTCTCACCACAAATGCTTGAAATTTCAACCGCGAAAGTCGATTCTTCTTTCACTTTTGTCACGCACTTTTGTCTTAAAAGAAGATTCCGTGTTAATCACGTCATCGTCATTATTTGTCGATTGTAGATGACATTTCGATTGTGTGTAACGAATATTCTCCTTCCGAATCTCCACGCGCGGATGATTACGATTAAAATCGATACGTACGGACGGGATGTTCCTAATGTTTCGATCGGATGCGAGAACGTGTTATCATTCGACCTCATTTGTGTATTAAAAGAACTTATGTAAATTGATAACCCTAATCGTTAAAACATTTTAAACGAATCTGTAATTAAGTAAAATCGCTTATTAGCCTAACTTTTGAAACTATACAGTGAGCTTATAGTTAATTTTTAACGTTATAAACTATCATTTTATATGTACAAAAAATATTTTAAAAATATGGCCAAGTAATATTTTTTTTAGTTTATTGTAAGCTCAGATTATATCATTTTTATTGAACGAAGAGGAAAACAAACTTTTCTCGCAACACAAAATTCAATTAAAAGTTTAAATGTTTATATCTATATTTATTTAGACCTATTTATATTTACACAAATTACATGATGATGCCAATTGGACCAAAAAAAAGAAAGAAAAAGAAAAAAAGAGCCATCTTCAGAATAACGATAAGAAAAACTGTAGTTTTACAGTTTTTATTTGGATATTTGTGTTTGGATCTAATACTAAAATGTTAAAGTAAAAACTTATAGAATCCTTAAACAAATATGAATAGAATAATGCAGTAGATTAACATCGTCTCTTCTTAATCATTTCAATTAATAGGCAATTTTTCTTGTTACTTCCAATTATAGTCTTTCTCAGAATAAGAGTGGAGTTACGGTCATTAGCTTACATACGCGAAGGAAAATAATTCCGTGTTCATTACAAAATAAAACACAATTTTAGTATTATACATATAATACATATATTAAAAAATAATAAGATATTTATATATATTATATATAAATATCTTATTATATATTATATATATTTATTTATATATATTAAACTGTTATAATCTATTTGGAAATATATCTACGATAAAGTTGAGATTATAAAAAAAAACAAAAAAAGAATCAAACAATGTGATATGACGTAATATTTAAAGTTTTTATTCTATTAATTGTTATTCTGTCTTTGTTGCTTAGCCATGGCTGCAGAGTGATACACATTCAAGATCCACCACAAAGGCTTCATTCTTATTATGAGAAATACTACAATAACGAGTTGCTCGAGATTAAATTGTGAAGTAAGGAGACGGTCGAATACTGTAATATTTTCTTCATTTTACTTAAGCGAAAGGTTTTTGTCAATTGATCTAAAAGCCGTTATACCATTAACCGAGATTAATATATATAACTTTACTTAACCCCGTTGGTTTTCTTACTTATCGCTTTAATAAAATACAAATATTTGCATTTTATTGAATTCCTAAACATTTGATAACAGAACTGAAATTTATCATTTTCTGCCTTACAATATACATAACAATCGAATTTTTAAAATGAAAACGGATGAAGTTCTATCGATAATATTACACGCTACTGCTAATTTAATACTTTTCCAAGTCTCATTTTTAACTCTTTAAAATCCGAATTTTTAGAATAAAAGAATCGATTCTCAATGAATTATTTATCTCCTATTTGAATTAAAACATAATCGAGTTAGGCTATTTTAAAAAGTTTTTCTTTTTATATTTCATTTTATTCAAAGACCATAGAAGTTTTTATTTCCGTTTGGTAAGTTTCGGTCCGCGTGGAAAGATTGTAATTTGTATAATAATATACATTGGTTGTCTTTGCTTGTTAATCATATGATGTGACGTTTGAAATGTCGTTCAAACTGTTTCGTTTGTAGAACAAAGGTTCAAAGTTTATTTTTTATATAATACTGTATCATTTTATTCATTATTTAGGAAATAATATTTTTCTTTTAAACTATCGTGTTCAAAAGTAATCAGCATTTAATCTTAATCACTTTTACTAAAACATAAATAAATAAAATAAAGATTATCTCTAAAATTAAAATTCTTCTTTCCATAAACGTAGTCGCCGTTAACCGTCCCGTATTTATTGGAAAAGTATATTTATTCGCGTCGCCAATAGCTGTCGTACTAAAATAAATTATACAGGCCTACTATTAATTAAATACGCGCGAGCCCAGTGCCGTAACTAGGCAGGTGCAACAGNACTTAATTTTAAAAGGTGAGATGGATTATATCGACTCGAGATATGAACACGACCCCCTTTTTCTTCCATCACCAAATTTTAACAGTATCAATACCCCTAGTAAACAAACCTTCTTGCAAAATTTAAGAAAATTTTTAAGCTTCAACGAAGATGAACAAAGTGCTCCTTCACACATAAACAGGTATATACAGATAAAAATCTCGAATTATTCTGCATATTCTCGATGTTTCTAGGTGCCGAGTCCAAAAATGTAAAAATTATTTGACCAATCGTCATACTTTCCCTCTGTTATAGGCCTATATAATAATAGATAAGAGAGCCGGGAAAGTAAAAAGTACTGGCGGTTCCGTTATAATCTTAAGAAATTGTTTTACGTCTATATGTGGTCCGTCGTTAAGCTGCATCTACCTATACAACCAAAATTGAATTATGGAATACTTCTATCAGGAAAAACATTTAATTACAGTACATTCTAAATCAACTGCAAGTGTTTACGAAATAATTTTCTACGCCCTTTTAAACCTCGAGAATAATTTATTAACCTCAATACATTACAAAAACGAAGAAATTGATAATACTATATACTGTATATTAAAAAAAATTATTCGTTTCATAATATAAGCTGCTATAGAATAAAGTGAAACACCATTTAATACATAATCACTACAAATAAAAAGAATTTGGATGTAAAGAAAGAATAGAAGAGTATTTTCAAAAACATCGAACAATTGGGCAAAAATCTATTCCACACATCTGTAAAACTTTCGAACTCCACACAGGAAAATATAAAAAGAATTAAAGATCATAGTTAAGTAGAATATGACATGAAAACTATAACGAAAATGTATTGAAATAAGACGAATATTAAATTCAACTAATATAATAGCGTTATTATTATTATTATTTTTTTGAAAAGATTTCTGAAAAACATAGCTACGAAGTCCTTTTGGCTTGTAATTTGCATGATCAATTTGCATGTTTAAGTTAAGTGAAATAATACTTTACACGTCGAGCAAAACATAATTCAAGGATAAAAATTTCTGATGTTATTCATTTTCACAATTAGCTAAAAATACAATATATTTGGAAAAAACAATTGCAGTCTTACGATTATACTTATAGTGATATATTATAATACCTATGCAGTATAACTCTCTCTGAGGAAGGATCTATCTACTGTATTAATAATAATTGTCGAGTTTTTAAGTACAGTACATTCCATTCGCTCTTCGATAAAGCGAAAAGTAGAAAGACCCTCGTTGCGTGCTCACCGGTGGCTGTCTGAATAACACTACTGATTACTGGTAGCTGGTCGTGGGTTTGCGCTTCGCCAACGGGCTAGCCACGTGCAGTTTTCTGGGGTATCTTCCGTTAGTAACATGTAAATAGAAGCCAGTTTCCCATAAAAGACCTCCCGGATGGTATTTCCCTCTTGGTAGATCGCGCAAATGTTGCGTTGCCGTATACGAATAAAACCAAACTAAAACCGTCGTTTCGTTATTGCTTTCCCGGCAGTTATAAGTGAGGGAAAGTAAGGCGATCGATCAAAAAATGATTCCCCAAGTTTTTTACATTTTTTGGACTCAGAGTACCTTGAAACGTCGAGAAATGCAAAAAAATGCATTTCCTGTTTTTTTTCTGTATGTATAGATGTTAGTGTTTGGGGCACGATTTTGTTCACCTGTTTGAAGCTTAATAACTCCTATGCTTATTGTCGAAAATTTCTGAAATTTTGCAGGGAAGTTTGTGTAATAGGGTGATTTATGCTATTAAATTTTGGTGGTTAAAGGTCGAGGGGAAAGGTGTGGAGATAAAGGGGTCGTGTCGTATCTCGAGTAGGGTCTGACTTGACGATTTTACTCATTAGCATTTACAACTTTTTTATAAACCGACCCCTACCCTCAAAATTAAGTTATTTTTACCATTTTACAATAATTAATAATATTTAAAAGTTCTTTTTAATAAAATATCGTAACAGATGGCGCCACTAAATGTTGCCGGAAAAATTAAGCAACTCATTGCTGGATTTTTAACTTTTAATTAATAGTAATTAAGTTCCATCGTCCTGATTGATAATTTTTTGGCACTTAAAGGCCCAAAGAGGTTCTTTTTCTAGACCCATAGTGGGTTTACTGGAACCTCTTTGGGTTTATCTAAGGCTGTAGGCTGACGATGGAATGCTCGGTGTATCCGGGCAGATCGCCTTAAAAAATTCCTGGGAGTTGCACGTACAGTACAATACAATCCTTAGTTTCCCAGAGCGGTAGGCTGACGCATTAACCGAGTCGGCCACCAAATAACAATGGTAGTGTCAAAATTACATATTTGTTAACCAAAGTTAATTGAGCTAATCGAGAACGTTTGTACTCTTAAACCTAACATTCCTTCCTACAATTTTATATTTCTGTTTGTTGTTTGATTTGCGTGTCGACCAAATCACACAAGACGACATTGCCGCAGCCATCCGTCGTACCAGTTACGCCACTGACCATTACTTTTTGTAACGGTTCGATAAAAACCGATTATCAAATGCGTATACTTCTCTGCTTGTGTTATGTGCGAACACCATTAACCTATTCGGCGTGATTGATAGGGTTACTAACGTTCAGAATTTTTCGAACTGTCCGAAATTTCAGTTATTATTTAAAAAATTTTTCAGATATGTACAGTACTGTACTTTAGATGGACAAAGAATTTGAAAAACTCCGGGAACTTTTCATGACGGACCGTCCATGAAAAGTTTTCGGAGTTTTTCGAGCAGTTCGGATTCGTTCTCCGGTGTGGTAGGCTGACGCATTAACCGCTTCGCCATCCGTTTGTCTCATCACCATAATTATCAACGGAAGGAGGAAACGTTCTCAAGATTGTACCAGTTTGATTGTACGTCTTCTTTTGCTCAACACGTTTTGCTTTTTTCACATTGTGTTCGAAATTTGTTACTCTGAAAGTTGACAACACTAATGACTGACGGAACATCGCTTATCGTCCAGCTGTGTAATGACATTTATGTTGGATGTTGCTTTATTTATAGGAATTTTCGGAACAGAAATCAGGTTTCTAACGCTATTATTAGGCTAGTGTCGTCCTACCTTTTTGAACGTCGAGAATCGTCAGGTGGATGACTTTTTAACCGGAATATTGATTTGAACACCCTTAAACAATAATAAAATATTTTAATGATAACTTTTCTCGGGAATTTCCGGTCACGCCACCGAATAATATCTAGAAATTGGCTCGATTGTGATGCTGTTAATGCTTCCGCGCCATCTGGTGATTAGAAGGCCACTTTCGACAAAATGAAAAAAAAAAAAAAAATGACGAGCGGTGTAAACGGTTACTTTTGAACGATTTTCTTATCTGAACAACTTAGAACAATGATCGACTACTATTTAAACATTTTGGCCAATAATTCGATTGGATGTGGTAAAAATTTGCGTTAATAAACTACGACCGTCAGTTTGACATCGTTTCTGAGACACTAAGTACGATTAACCCACGGAGTATAACGTTCTTATATCTATTTATTTAAGTCTTGTTAACTCACCTTTAATTTATTAATTTAATTTTTCTTCGACGAGACGAGATTAGGCATTGATAAATGTGAACCTATCGCATCGTAATTTATATTAAAACTTTCGGGTTCTGCCTTGCCAATAAAAATACCAAAATTATAGTTCTAATTTTCTCACAACGTGTACATAGGAAATTCACTAGGCAAATGTTCTGAATTTTAAAAAAAATATTTCAGTTTTTGGAGTTACTTAAAAAGAAGCGATGTGACTCGATTGTGAAAAATCCAAAATACGAAGTTATTTTCAAATGAAATAATGAAACTCCTATTTGCATTTTTCATTGAGATATTTCTTTCTTCTTATCATTGGAGAGCCACTTCGAAATCTAATCGTCGATTAACGTTAAACGAATTTATTAACAACGTTTAGAAACTAGGAATTAATCTTGTAGAATCAGACCCGATCGCCCCCTCCCATCTCGTCGCTAATCGAATCCAAACGACGATATTTGGTGGATGTTAGCGAATACGTTATAAGATTTTCTCCTCTTCTTTAAATAAATCGACGAAATTGTCGGATGTCTTAGGAACTTTTACAGTCGGAGAGAAAAAAAAGAATCCGACGTAAAAGTTTGCGCTTACTAAATGACTTTTGACTAAATGATCATGTCTGATTCTAATCTTTTTCCATTCGTATTCGGTTCAAACTAAGGACGAGATAAATCCGGAAGACGTAGAATTAATCGTCCGATGGAATTTCGACCCGGGCCATTATTCTAACGATTGCGTTTTTGTGCTTTCAGAAATACATTCCAGTCATGAGCCGCCCGATAGTGCTGTCCGGCGTCAGAACCACCATCTGGACTTCCGTCTACGCCGATATCTCGGTGAGTCTACCTTTATCTATCGTACTTTAGTGAATATTGTTCCGTCGATTCACTACGTCGATAGACGTCGTCTGGTGTCACCGTCGACGATGACACCAGACTAAGAACGGTCGGAGCTATTAAAGGATGAACGGAAACTGCCGTCGCTGCGCTTGCTTTGTTTCTGCTAGAAATTAATTATTGTGATGTAATAAACAAAAAACATTCGAGGGAGATAAGTCGGACGATATCACAACGTGAGTTCGAACTTCGTTTCGCGCCACATGATCCCTATGACCGTCACTATAAAATTTCTTACGGATATTTGCATTATTCTGTTATTTTTGTTTCTAGTGTCTGTCGCTCATTTAAAGCTTCTTTCCATAAACGTAGTCGCCGTTAACCGTCCCGTATTTATTGGAAAAGTATATTTATTCGCGTCGCCAATAGCTGTCGTACTAAAATAAATTATACAGGCCTACTATTAATTAAATACGCGCGAGCCCAGTGCCGTAACTAGGCAGGTGCAACAGGTGCACCCGCACAGGGTCCACTTGAAAGATGGGCCTAAAATGCATGTATTTGTTTTATTACTTTCCCAAACCTAATTAATCTAGGGGCCTAAATGCAAATTCCTGCACAGGGCACAGGAATGGCTAGTTACGGCACTGCGCGAACCACTTCGTAACTGACCCGATCCAGTTTTTCCCATTATTACGACGTTATATGACTACTTAAAGTTTACAGTTTAGTTATTTCTAACAATTTTTGCCAATTTCCCTAGTGAGAAATGAGCCTGCAAAAACAGAATGTCGATTTGATCCTACGTATTATCATCACCTAAGTACAGTACACTTATTGCCGTGAAAATAATTGTGTGGCGAGTTAATAATAATAATAATTTTTTTTTATCCGAACAAATTAATCAGTCTTCCGATCAAATTCGATTGGTTCTGTATAAAGATGTGTTTAGAAATATTTGATAGCACTTGGACGTTTTTGCGGAAAGACCACGTCCGAGAAGGAAAGCGCTACGGAATTCTTTCCGTTCCACCTTTAAATCGTCCATTTCTATTCCGTTCTCCAAATCGTAAATCTCCTTCGCTTCGCACCTACTGTTATTTACATCTTTGGCGTCGAAGCTCTCACCACAAATGCTTGAAATTTCAACCGCGAAAGTCGATTCTTCTTTCACTTTTGTCACGCACTTTTGTCTTAAAAGAAGATTCCGTGTTAATCACGTCATCGTCATTATTTGTCGATTGTAGATGACATTTCGATTGTGTGTAACGAATATTCTCCTTCCGAATCTCCACGCGCGGATGATTACGATTAAAATCGATACGTACGGACGGGATGTTCCTAATGTTTCGATCGGATGCGAGAACGTGTTATCATTCGACCTCATTTGTGTATTAAAAGAACTTATGTAAATTGATAACCCTAATCGTTAAAACATTTTAAACGAATCTGTAATTAAGTAAAATCGCTTATTAGCCTAACTTTTGAAACTATACAGTGAGCTTATAGTTAATTTTTAACGTTATAAACTATCATTTTATATGTACAAAAAATATTTTAAAAATATGGCCAAGTAATATTTTTTTTAGTTTATTGTAAGCTCAGATTATATCATTTTTATTGAACGAAGAGGAAAACAAACTTTTCTCGCAACACAAAATTCAATTAAAAGTTTAAATGTTTATATCTATATTTATTTAGACCTATTTATATTTACACAAATTACATGATGATGCCAATTGGACCAAAAAAAAGAAAGAAAAAGAAAAAAAGAGCCATCTTCAGAATAACGATAAGAAAAACTGTAGTTTTACAGTTTTTATTTGGATATTTGTGTTTGGATCTAATACTAAAATGTTAAAGTAAAAACTTATAGAATCCTTAAACAAATATGAATAGAATAATGCAGTAGATTAACATCGTCTCTTCTTAATCATTTCAATTAATAGGCAATTTTTCTTGTTACTTCCAATTATAGTCTTTCTCAGAATAAGAGTGGAGTTACGGTCATTAGCTTACATACGCGAAGGAAAATAATTCCGTGTTCATTACAAAATAAAACACAATTTTAGTATTATACATATAATACATATATTAAAAATGATAAGAAAGACGTTTCGAAATATCAAGTTCCGAACAGTCTTTGTTGCTTAGCCATGGCTGCAGAGTGATACACATTCAAGATCCACCACAAAGGCTTCATTCTTATTCTGAGAAATACTACAATAACGAGTTGCTCGAGATTAAATGTGAAGTAAGGAGACGGTCGAATACTGTAATATTTTCTTCATTTTACTTAAGCGAAAGGTTTTTGTCAATTGATCTAAAAGCCGTTATACCATTAACCGAGATTAATATATATAACTTTACTTAACCCCGTTGGTTTTCTTACTTATCGCTTTAATAAAATACAAATATTTGCATTTTATTGAATTCCTAAACATTTGATAACAGAACTGAAATTTATCATTTTCTGCCTTACAATATACATAACAATCGAATTTTTAAAATGAAAACGGATGAAGTTCTATCGATAATATTACACGCTACTGCTAATTTAATACTTTTCCAAGTCTCATTTTTAACTCTTTAAAATCCGAATTTTTAGAATAAAAGAATCGATTCTCAATGAATTATTTATCTCCTATTTGAATTAAAACATAATCGAGTTAGGCTATTTTAAAAAGTTTTTCTTTTTATATTTCATTTTATTCAAAGACCATAGAAGTTTTTATTTCCGTTTGGTAAGTTTCGGTCCGCGTGGAAAGATTGTAATTTGTATAATAATATACATTGGTTGTCTTTGCTTGTTAATCATATGATGTGACGTTTGAAATGTCGTTCAAACTGTTTCGTTTGTAGAACAAAGGTTCAAAGTTTATTTTTTATATAATACTGTATCATTTTATTCATTATTTAGGAAATAATATTTTTCTTTTAAACTATCGTGTTCAAAAGTAATCAGCATTTAATCTTAATCACTTTTACTAAAACATAAATAAATAAAATAAAGATTATCTCTAAAATTAAAATTAAAATGAACATAAAGGTAACTGTTCAAATGCAAAAAACAAATTTGGCTAATATTTTAAAAATTTTTTAGCAGGTTACTTCGTTTCTAACCAGAAATAATAGGCTACTTCTTACTCGTTAGGTTAGTTTTTATCAAGGGATAAACAGCCGAAACTGATGTTAGCGAAAAAAATTTCGCTAACATCAGTTTCGGCTGTTTATCCCTTGTCAGATGGGAGATGTTAGCGAAAAAAATTTCGCTAACATCTCCCATCTGACCATTCTATACTTTCGTGTATATTATCCAATAACCATACGTCATGATTAAAAAAAAATCCTACATTTATTAGTAAACCGACATGTCGTAGAATCAATAGGAGTTCATTTTCTTCCTACATATGTTCTAAAGACTTGACTTTTTTTGTTCGATTCATTTCTTCCTGTTCGACGAAAAATCAATGTCATTTACGAAAGTTTCTTCTCGACTATAAATGCTTTTTAAAATACAAAAAAAAAATGACACTTCTAAACGATGGTTCGTGTTACATTTGAAACGATTGAGAAATAATACGAGAAGACAAAGGAAGCGACAACAATCCTGAAATTCTAGGGATCTATAATATATAATCATCGAATTGTCCAAAAAAATAAGTAAATAAAATAAAAAGAAAGAAGAAAAATCCTCGAAATTGGATCCTATTTTAACTATTTTATGCCGGCTATAAACCGTTTAGCATAGGACCATAAAATATTTTGGAAATTACGAAATTTGCAGAACGTTCGTCGAGTCGCTTCTATTTTATTCCTGATGAAATTTATTCCATTCTATAACATTTATGATAAATTAGAATATAGACCTTTTAATATTACTCCTAATTCCCAGTTCCTGACTTTGAATTGTTCTTTTCCACCTGTATCCAGTAAAGGCTTTGATTTTGCCACGTTCGTCAAGCAATATCCGAATTGCTCTTCGCTTCATTTTACTTTGGACAATATTTCTTCTATTTATTATATATTTTTTATAATAGAACATTTTTACCGCTGAGTCAGCCATTTCTGTTTATGGATATCATCAAGTTTGGATTAATTAATTCCCTGTCAATGGTGTTGTGATATTTTAATTGTCATTTCAATGCTTTCAAATTTTCGGTTGCCGTCAAGGGATGTTTTATGCAAATAAGATTAAATAAGGTTTTGATTAAATAATTATTTGGTTTAAAGGGTATCTTTGCAATTTTGAAAACGACTTGGGTATATTATCTGTTAATGATATTAGAAATAAACTACTTTAAACGGAATTTGAGTTGTAGTTTTTGTATTGTTTCGTAAAGTAGATGTAACATTTTATTTATAAATTGTATAATTATTTTACTAAGTATATATCTCAATGAAGCTATTATAAATATCGGCTATAAGGGAATAGTTTTTGCTATTTTTGTGTATCTTAAATTATTGCTTGTTAGTTTGTATTTCTGTTTTATATATCATAAATTATTTTATCAGCGCAAATACCACGTATGTCTAATATAAGAATACATTATGTAATATAACTATTATAACAAAAATTTATTCTATTAGAATAAAGTGATTTGATGATGATGAAATAATTGCCGGAAATTACAGACCAATATTGTTGCCTGCGTTTTATAATCGTAATAGTATAGAGAACATAATTTGCAACAAAGAACTTTATTTTCGTTTTCATTCTAAAACAGCAAATAGGCCGAATTGAGAACGTAAACAAATTTTTGCAAATTGCCTGGTTGTTAGAAACGTGTTAATCGCTAACACTTGTACTCGGACATAGCAATAACAATCCTTGTGCCATAAATGTTTTATTTATCTATGGGTAGAAAGCTCATTCCAAGCGTTTTTATACTGTGAAAGTCGGGTAAGCATTCTTATTTTCTATCTTCTGAGAGAATTTTTCGAAGTTTCGACGGTTTGTTATTATCTTTCGTTCCGTTTTCTGTGTCATTCAATGTCTG